GGCATACGGACGTAAGGCATACAGACGTAAGGCATATGGACGTTAGGCATAATGGACGTTAGACATAAAAGATGTTAGGCATAATCTTCCTGATGAATTCCAGAAGGATGATAATGGGGACCGTCTATAGATTGCTGCCATCGGTGACAATAATGAAAGAGCCTTAAGTTTTGGGACCCATGAAAACTTGCAAAGTCTTGGACAGGCAAAGTATTGGGTTGCAGATGGTACGTTTGCCACAGTTCCTTGTTTTCTCACACACACGTCTCTTACCGATGATATGTGCTTGCCTCTCAGTATGTTCAAACTTTCTCATAAACAATTACATTGACTACAAAGTCGCTAAAACCGTAAATCAAAGTTCCTTGTTTGTTTCGGCAACTCGTCACTGTTCATGAAAGTATCGCTCCTTCACATCCGCAGCTAGTTTTCATTTTGATGACAACATCGAAAAGTATGAGAGTAAATCCTTCAAACAGCAGGTATGTTTTTTGTTATGGAATGAAAAACCACAGAATTCACCATTCTTCATTTCATGAGCTGTTCTTTGGAATTATCTTTTATTCAACCTTAGCTGTTTTTACACTATGTGAAAACCGAAAATGGAACATGTAACAAAATTATGAAAGATTTTGAACGTTAAAAACTCAGCTGCTCATTGATCAATTTCAATAATTTTATCACCAATCGATCAGATATATTTCTACGCATCTGTTTAATTTAAGACTTTATCATTTTTCAAAATGCCACTGTTGAAAATTTGCACGAATGTGTAACTGTTGCTTTGAACATTAAAATTATCACCGATTGCCTGCGAAAAGCGATTTCCCTAACACAGATTTCAAAGTTGAATTCCATCTGGTCTCACCAAACGGTGTTTATTCAATCACCGCGTGGTGAGTGGTGGTGTTCACCAGTACACAACGAAAGGCTCCCCGCAAGCAGCTAGCTACCAAGGCTGGCCTCAACCGCTGATTGGATTCAGTTCCAATCACCGCGTGTGGTGGTGTCCGGGCGTTGGCATCAGTTTTCGGCGCGTGGCGTTGAACATTGTTCTCCAGTACACAATGCAAGGTATTCTGCAAGCAGTGAGCTGCAGCCCACATGAGCATCCATAGAAGGAGGAAGAAGCCTCACCGCTATTGATCGGAATCACTAGCTCTTCGTGAGTTGCTGTGGGCCATCTATGCCAAGCACGTCACCCTCATTCAAAACAATACAACAGCCTCATTTGTGTTTAACACCCTAATAGCTCAGCATTACTCAACCATCACAACAAAACGGTCATTTTCAGGACCACCATAAATTTGTAAAAGAGTATTTTTTGGACATATGTCAAGGTCATCAATCGGATGTCAGTTCCCATATCAAGATAGAGCTGAAATTAGGGCGTAACAGCTTTTGTAAATAATGACTTCTTTCGATGATGTCTTGAAAGTCAAGGCTCGCCCACGCAAATCAACATCACCATCAGGTAGGGTAAGAATTTCTCTATCCGACAGTAATGTTACTTTGCGTGGGCAGCCCTACTTTTGCTCAATAAAACAGATGAAATTATCCTTAATAAGTAAAAAAAAATCTCCTTAAAATAGATCGGGTTGCTTAAAATGCTCAGTAAATATTTAAAGTACGCTCCCTAAAATAGAGAAAACAGTATATTAAGCATTTGAAAATGCTCCTTAGTATGCACCACTTTGCAACGTTTTGAAGTGTAATTGTACCATATATCATCGGAAAAACTGATGTAGAAAGATTAATATGTACCATGAAATCAGCTGAAATGTTCAGTAAAAATGTACAAATGCACACAATGGTTTACTGAGCATTTCAGATGATTTCATGGTACTTATTAACCTTTCTACAGCAGCTTTTCCGATGATATATGGTACAATTACACTTCAAAATGGTGCAAAGCGGTGCATACTAAGGAGCATTTTCAAATACTTAATGTACAGTTTTCTCCATTTTAGGGAGCGTACTTTAAATATTTACTGAGCATTTTAAGATTTTTAACGTATTTTGATCAATAATTTAAGGAGCAACCCGATCTATTTTAAGGAGATTTTTTTTTAACTTATTAAGGAACATCGTCATTGTTTAATGATTCATTTACCTTTTTACCCTTTGCGTGGGCGTACCTTGAATTCCTAAAAATCATCGAGAGAAGTCATTGCTTACAAAAGCTGTTACGCCTAATTCCAGCTCTATCTAGATATGTTTAAATCTAACATACCATGTTCTTGAAGGCACCATTGGGGGTGGAATTTCAAAAACCAAAGTCGGTCGCGGCATGAAAGTGGTCTGATGTTGATCCAGAGACGATGGATTTTAATCCCTAATTCGCCAATCGATTGGAATTTTGCAAAGTCACCATTGCGTACAACCCCATAGGGCTGTCCCTTGTAGTTTTTGTTATTGTATGAAAAATCACAAAATTCACCATTATTTATTTCATGAGACAATTGCAATGTTAGTAAAAATATATTACAACACTTAATTTTGTATTTCTTGATGCGATTGATTTCAAAATATAGTTCAAACTATGCTGAGTATTTATTGCCAGGTTACTTAACCGCTATCGCTACAAATCTTGGATCTAAGTAAATATGTAGCTACGTGATACATAATGGATTCCAAACTGTGCTTATTAAATAAACTATGTTTGTATAACTTGCATCATCTTTTATTCAACGCTTAGCAAAATTTAAGCATTGTTTACCATGCTCGAAACAAGTTTCTAGAATTGCACAGAAGCAAGGTATTTTAACGTCCATTATGCCTAATGACTTTATGCCTAACGTCCATTATGGTTAATGTCCGTATGTCTAACGTCCGTATGCCTAACGTATTTATGCCTAATGGGGTACACTCCACCGGCTGGTGCGGGATTCGAACCCTCACTTGGTGGCACTGATAATACACCTTAACGAAGGGTGACCTCACGGACATGAAACCCACCACCATCACATAAAATCAAATTAAATGATGCAAAATATATGACAACGCTTTCGATGATGGATTTCCATCTATTTTTGTTACGTTGTGAATACCAGTTCCATGTGATGTTTTGGCAAAAATGAGTTCTCTTCTGGAATCAAATAATAAGTAATTCAGTTTTAAAATGTGCCCATAAGTTGAACTGTTTTGATCTAAAAACAAAGTAAAAAAATCCAGTGATGGTTAGTACTATTTTGTCAACGCTCTGAATAAGCTCCGAAATATTTGATTAAAAATCTAATTATGTTCAGTCTTCTTCTTCTTCTTCTTCTTCTTCTTCTTCTTCTTCTTCGCATTTCAAGCTTATTGCATATCGCATATTAGCTTATTGCGTGCTCTCAAGTTAGTGTTCTAGATGCACTTTGACAGTTATTAATTCGGAGTTTTCGATGCCTGTACCATTTTTGCATTGGTATAATTGTGTGGCAAGTACAATCATACTTCTATGCTCAGGGAAGTCGAGAAATTTTCTAACCCGAAAAATTCCTAGACCGGACCGAGAATCGAACCCAGCCACCTCCAGCATGGTCTTGCTACACACGTGCCTTTAAACCAGACGAGAAAAATCGGATAAATACACGACGCATGTGTGTTTTACAAGAAATTCAAATTTTAAAAATTGTTTTCTCTCTCTCTCTCTCTCTCTCTCTCAACGTTTTTGACTTTGGTTGATAGCACTCTATAAATCATGGTTGAAGCCTTACATACAGTAAAGGATACCATATCCTAACGAAGTATAGTTTTCAAATAATAAAAATTACTGAAAGATTGCTTTGTGCAAAATCAAATTGTCTTGTTTATTTCAGAATTGAAATATCAATTGAAACCGAAGCCTAGATAGGATGATTCAATGCTGGCTATATGTTTGTCGATTAAGTTTTGTATTACCTGCTGCATTATTTTATGACCAATTTTTGGTGTGTTCATTCTGTACTGATGGTGAAAAATTCGTGTTGAACTGTGTTATGTCAGGTTGAGATTCACTGTATTTAGGATTAGGAAACATATTTGATGGTTCATAACAATATTTGAAGATTCGTGGACTTAATTAATTTAAAACATCTAAAAATTTCGAAAAATCTAAGCTTCCGAGTAGGGATCATCTGGAGGCACGCGCACAGCTCTAAATAAGTTTGTGCTGTGCATTCTAAAGTCTCCTGCACTCGATCAGAGATAGTTCGCACTAATTTGAGAGACGAGCGATGTGGGTACACAGAAAAAAAATATGAATTTTAACTATCACGTAAAATCTCCCTTCGTTTAATTTTGAGCTATACTTGGCATAAACAGCGAAATCGTTTACAAGCTTGCATACAAAATTGCAAATTTATGCGATATTGCGCTTAAATTTACAGGAAATATCGTTACTCCAAATCTAGAGTTAATTTTATGTGCGCTATATCTCGCAGAAATTTACATGAATTTTTCAAACGGTGTAGGAGCGCACAGAAACAGCACAAAGAGAGCTCAAAGTTAGCACGGCAAGTCAATGTAAACAAAAACATCTTTTTGGATGTTAGTTTCGTAGCTTGGAACACTATTATACTTCACTCAATCTTTAAAAAATGTTATGGTTTGGAAAATCAGCACATTCTGCATGAGCGCACATTTTTCATTAGCACAAGCTCATAGGTGAACGTCTCTTTATTTTTGACCTGCAAACACATAGTTTGCTCGCCTGTGCTTTGTGCCAATAATTTGATCGTCTAAGCTTCTCAGCCTACATTGCTCGTGTTATTGAAGGTTGAGAAACTTTTTTGGTCAATTTTGAAACGTCAACACATTACCATGTCAAAACTGTTTCGGCGAGTGAATAAGGGACTGTGAAAAAACGGGGGCTGTACAAAATATAATCTGATAAATGGAAAACAAAAACAAAACAATGAAGAAACGTAATGTGTCGCTGATAACGAATGGATATGGGGTGGTGTCGACAAGTAAAACAACGCGCAACGAAAATGGCAATTCAATGAAAAGAAATGTTCAAATTTATCTTCATGTACCTTGCTCCTCAAATCGCCTCTGGCACAAATTACAAAGAAACTCTTCGTCTTCTTCTGTTAATGCTTGTCCTTCGGCTACTCGGGGTTTGTTTTGGGAGGTTTTTTGTTTTGATGGTAGAATTTTGGAGAGGGTTTCGCGATTTGTTTTTCGTATATTGTGTTTTCGATATTTCGAGGCAATTTTATGAGATAGAAAACAGAAACAATTGGAGCTGTTTTAATTTATTCGTCATGGTCAATAAAAAGTTTAATTAGCAAAAGTGTGGGAGTTTATTTCGGGAAGAATTGGCAATGGTTGGTTCTTTGGGGAAGTTTGGAGTAAGAAAAACATTTATCTGGAAGGAAAAGATGGATTGGCACAAAACTAAGTATGATTGACAATCAAGACCTACCGGAAAACATTCTTTAGAGGAAAATCATGAATCGAACCAAAACTAGGAGGGTTCCGAGTGGGAAATGTGAGTACTGGAAGAGCATACTTAGAAAAGAAAGTTACATTTAACGGAAACTCAAGTGGAATAGTTTTGAAGAGTGAACAGAAAACTAAAGTTTGCTAACTCATCCGGTTATTCTCATACATTTATATAGAAGCCAAGACCAAGCGCGTGCCTTCTCACTGGATGTTTATTTACTTGTGTGGTAGTATGTGTACAGCAATAAGTTCAATTATTGTAAAAATATTGATTTACGTTTGGAAGGAAGAGAATGAATAGAGCGAGTGGAAAGCGAATGAATGCTGTGTTTCTATCGGTATGTTTCTCGGATTGGCAAGCGTAGCGTTGGGAATTTGGAGATTTACTTTTGCCTCAGCTTTAGTTTAAAACCAGCATATCAAGAAGACTACTCTCACGAGTTGTTCGCGCGTCGGCATCAGTTGCAGTTGTCACGCAAAGTGACAGACACAATTAAACCATTTATCGGTCAAAAGCATAATCACCGAAACGAAGTTGATAAAAGAGAGTTTGGCCTATTTGCTTATTTTACATACGATGATTCTATGTTTGACTAAGGTCAGCGCTAATGTATTTGTATCTTAGATACTGTACTAGGCGTTCCAGTCATATATTTTCTTCGTTCAATTACATGAGATTCACTATACCTACTTCCAACTGATTCCAAAAAAGTCAGCCTGACAGTTCCATTTTCTTGTTATACATCCCACAGTCGTAGCCTTTTTTTTTATTTATTTAACTGGAAGCTTGCAATACACAATTATATTTAATTTTTCAGCATTATGTTTGATCCTATACCAAACTGTCAAGAAATTTAGGGAAGATGCATAAATGACGTTGCATTTGAACCTCCCCTCAAAGGGGAAAAAGGGTTATTTCAGAAGTTGTGACCAGCCATGTATTAGGTATTGTCAAACACGAAGTGGAGGTTCATTTATGGATGATCCCTTACATTTAATAAATCATGGAAAGCGACGTTCGTTTATGTACTAGGGTGATTCAAATTATCGATTTTATTCCACACAGTACAATCGATCTCATCTCTGAACATCCTCTTAAAATTTGAGATCGTTTGGTTGCGATCTCATACTGAACTGACCCAGTGAAGTTTATTTTGAAATTATCTTCGGAAAAGTAATATTTTAGTTACCACGTACCATCCTTTTGCCATATCACTGTTTATTTACATTATTAATGTATGCTTGATACAGCTAGTTGTACTAAATTTGCTGAAACTTTGCTCAACACTACTTTTTATTTGATCGTTGGATGATAAGTAATCAATTAATTTAGAAGCTAATGATCTTCAATATATCTATAAGTTGTAAAGGTGGGTTGACTGGTTCAGAATATATGATTATTTTTTTCGTTGGATTGGATTCCTCCTCTAGTTTCCGGGAATTAAAGTTTCTGTTCCTAAGTTTGAATCGTCTGTTTTAGTATAATCAGAGTCAGATTTTATCAAGTGGGACGTAGGATGTAAAAGTTGTAGAATGTGCCATTTTCACTCAGAGTCTGAGAAAGCCGATAATCCTACCTATCATATGTTTAGATTGGCAAAAAGTAAGAACGAAGTGAACAAAAAGGCCAGTAAGATCGCTACAAAGGACCTCCCTTAGTTCAGTCGATAAAGGCACAGCTACAAAGCAAGACTATGCTGGAGGTGGCAGGGTTCAGTTCCCAGTCCGGTCTAGGAATTTACGGGTTGGACATTTTTTTCGACTTCCATGGGCATAGAGTATGATTGTACTTGTCGCACAATTATACCTACTAATGCAAACATGGTACAGGCATCAAAAGCTCTCAATTAATAACTGTGGAGGTGCATCTAGAACACTAAGTTGAGAGCACGTTATAAGTTATTATGATGCGAGGAAGAAGTATAAGATGAAGAAATCGCTACCAAGTGAGCTTATATTTGGGGATCAATATCAGGGCCACATTATGTACGCAAGTCGAAACGATTTTTCTATACTATACTTCATACGAAAATTGCTTCGTTTCGACTTCCAATGATATGGAAGCGATTGTGCTAGGGTAGAGCGCTATTTCGTCGTAATCGCCCATTTCCGTTCTATCGATCAGAAAAGATCAATAATATCAATGATTTCACCGTGCACCAATTAATAATAGGTTTGTTCCGATGCGTTAGTTCATTATCTACAACATAAATCCTGTTAGAGCGCATTGTATGAATATTTACGCTCATTGTTCTCAAAACAAAGGAAGCGCTCCTAGCGAATCCCCTTTTTCTACGTTTATCCGTAGGACGAAGAAAATCTAATGGCGTTTCAATGCGTTAGGACGGAATTGAAACTCGTAGAACGAATTTAGAATCAAGAAGCAGTGTTACATTTAAGACAATATCTCAACAATTTGTGACTCTTTACCAACGGTACGTATGGAAAGGTGAATAAATTTGCAAGTCATCTTTGACAGAAATATTCAATTTTTTGTTTAAACTCGTTCAGAAAAGAGAGGTAAAGCGCGGGTTGTGCTTAGTAGGACGGAAATTAGATCAAAACCCCTATGTGGAGTAAAGTCGAGATTTTAAACCTAGGATTTATTGCTTTTTTTAGACATGTGCTGATCTTTTCTATTTCAAAACTTTCGGGCCTACGTGGTCATATATGACCAGGCCCTAAGATTGTCTTTATAAAACCACAGGTGACCGATAGCTACATCCTTTCTTCAGCAAAGTTGTAGTTTTGGATCTAGACTATACCGGATTTATATTTCCCGACATATTCATATAGGACATATTTATAGCCAGCTTTAAGGTGATTTCTTGTAGAGTCCAAAAAATGACGGTCATGTAAACTTTTTTCCATTGTAAAAACATGTAGTTTATCGGGAGTAAACGTGTCATTCTACATGAAAATCATGTACATACCAAAAGCTGTGAATTTACATGTCCATTTTCATTACATGCTCCATTATTTTTATCGTTTGAAACATATAACGTCGCACAAAATTTTCATTACTTTTAGTGTTTACATATTCAACTATCAATTTATCCTAATTTGTTTTTTTTTTCACATTTCTATCTTTCATGAATTGCTGCCTAACTAACTGTAACAACAAAAGGCTTGTTGGTCATTGTTACAACAACCATATATTCATTTTTTTCAGGATTTGGTCAACTAGAACCAAAGTTAAGTTAATTTTGAAATGCGTCCATAGTAATTCTCATACATATTTCAAACCATTTGCGTAACCTTAACCTTTATAAATCTATATCATTTTTACACAGACTCATATTTTGAGGTTATTAATCACACTGGAGAGTGGCCACATGAAATCAAACACTTCTTTTCAAAATGAAGCACCCTAATGCGCAACCAATATGATTAATTTACATGCATATTAGATGTGCTAGGTTCTCCAAATCGGCCTGTACTGCAGGCCAAATGATCTACTAGATCAACCACGTCTAGTATAATGTCCTTAGCAATGACATATATTCGTCCAGATTCATGGATTCTATGCGCATCGAATATGTTCAATTTTCCTATAGATCAGATGTTCTACACGCTTAGGAATAACTAATTTTACACGTGACGGAATCCATCTTTGACATAAAAGATGAGATGTTAGCAAACATGTCATGTAATATTAACTGCTCCGAGACTGAAAAATTCGTTGCTCGACGAAAAGTACGTTTGATTGAACTATACTTCGCGCCTGTTATGACTCAAATTTATGTCAAAATATGTCAGTCTCAGAGCGTCTAAATTTACATGAATTTTCTAAGTGTGTAGGTTTATCAAATCATCCTGGCGTTTTTAGAGAGCGTATAAGGCCCAAGCTCCCAAGGAGGAGGGGACTACCATTTTTCAAATACCGTCTACATAGTCCCTAACGATAAACTCATTAAAGTATTCCGTTTGCCATTCCGAGAAACATACGCTCAATTTTTCGTACAACACTGGAAGCTATCAATTTTGAATAGAAAAAAAAAAATATCACAAGGATGCATCACAGGCAGCCCAGTGGCAGGCGCGTAGGCAACATGTTATACCATGACAGCGGGCCCAGCACAGCAAAATAAACGATTTGAGTCCGGGACATGCTGCCTACTGTCAAACGCTGCTGTTGGTATAGGCCTTGTCACTGGCCTGATCACAGGCATCAAGAGGGTCGACAACGAGAAAAAGATGATCGTAAACATAGTCAAGAAAAGGGAAACAGGAAATTCAGAGTCGATCGATAATTAATTGCCAATTAATCAATAAAGCAGCATGAAACGTTCCATGTGCAGCTTTCACATAATTTCATTCTCTTGCACACACGCTGGGAAGTAGTATTTTTACATGTTTGTAGGTGGATGAAATGACATATACATGTATTTTCGCATATGAGTAGCAGCCATACAATCACATCCAAATAAGTTATGGATTTGACTGCACGGAAAAATGAGCTTCCCGGTGTACGCTGACGAACGATGCGGATTGTGCGTTTCGTGAATTGGCTGACTGCTGCCAGATTGATCGTGTAACTGTTGTATCTGTCAGTCACGGACTGGTGAGAATGATTCAGAGCACGAAGAAATGGATGGAAATATATACTAGCTAATAGACTGGTAGGAACAAAAATGCTAGAATTTCAACATGTTTCAGAAAATAGCAGTTGTCGAACCAGTCTGGTGGTTTTGTTAGCGGAAATGAGCTTAGTACTGTGTAAACAAAGAAGATAAAGAATTAGATGAAAGAATAAGACAACGAAAAGTTGCTCGTACTGGATGCTTGTATTCCGGAACATGTAATCCTATGTACACGGTCTGAAAAGTTTGGTATTTTTTGCTTGTGTCTAGTTTTCTGTACATGTGAAGGCTGATGCGATGATGTTATATAGACAAAAGTGGATAAGTGGAAGCTGAAAGTTGAGCTCAATTTTCGTTTCCTGCTAGCCATAGGAAGCGGTAGGATATCCATGATAAAGTTGATATGCTGAAGAAGTTTCGTTCCTTAGTGTGGACAAACAATGGGTTTAACGCATGACAAATTTGTAGTTCAAACAATTTGGTGAAAACGAAAAGAATGAAACCATCGAAATAAAAAGCCAAATCATAAGAGCAAACGAACTTCAAATAAGGATAAATAGCTAAGAATTTAATGTTGGGAGTCAGATTTCAGTTTGACAGAAAACACGGGAATTGTCTCTGGTGGGCCAGAGAATGGCCCGGGAGTAGCGAAATGGATGTGTGTTGGTCATAGTTTAAGAGCAAAGATGAAAGAAAAGGATTACGGGTGAAGCTAGAAAAGAGCAAGACAGTAGTGGGTGTACGAAAACAAAATCTCTAAAAGTGGGATTCTTTGAGCGCTTGTTGCAGCAAAAGGATCTCTTGTAAAACATACATATATTTTCCACTTTAGAGTGGAAAGTATTAGTAGCATACTAGTAGTAGTAGTAGCAGATGAAGGGGAGCATACGATGGCATAAGGAAGCTAACTCACCTCTCCAGCTGGCTTTAATGGGGCAGGTTATTGTTTGGTTCTGGATCAAGTACGCATTTAGGGTTGTCAGCGAAGGACTCTTCCGCAGAGTGTCCTCGTCGTTCTTCCAGACGTACCGTATTGCCGACTGCTCGTATGATACTGTTGAGAGAAGCAAGAATCATGATTATTACATATGTTTGGCCTATTCATTTGAATTTTGCTGAAAATAGGATAGGCTTCGTTGTGGTGAGTGTGTAATGTAAAATTTGTCTTAAGATTTTTCATGGTCCAATCGATTGACTGGAAACGTTCATTTGTTTCGTATATGAATTAATTTACTTGAACAACTTAAATTAAGAGCTGATTGTGAGTTTTAGCTGACCCGTTGAACCCGAGGCTTAATATGGCTATATCATATCGACAAATATTGAATATATAAATAAATTATGAATAAGATATGCCTGTTGAGAAACTGAGGACGTAGCGAAGCATAGCTACTCGCTACCCGAGCAAAAACTGATTAGTGAACGATAACATATGAATATCTTAATGTGGTATGGTACCTTATCTGGGCATGCTTGTGGTATAACACCTCGTTTTGATACTATTCAGTTACCGACATATTTAGTAAAATCTATCCCCGAGCAGGAACGAATATCTCGATTCCCTAAATTGGTATCGATGAGCCTGACATCCCGAGCAGGAACGAATATCTCGATACCTTAAATTGGTATGAATGAGCCTGACATAAGAGGTAAACCCAAAAATAATACCAAAAAAAGGTTCCCACAATACCATTCCAATACCAAATTATGATAATGCAATATCAAAACAATACCACCCAGGTATTCTTTTGGTATCCAAATATCAATTTTTGGTTTTTACAAAGTATTTTGCATGTAATTTTTTGGTATTATTCTTTGGTATTTTACCTCTTATGTCATGCTGGTCAATACCAAATTTGGGTATTGGCTTATCTTGCTCGGGTCTATCTATCTATCTATCTAGCTAAATATATAAAAATGAATTTCTGTCTGTCTGTCTGTCTGTCTGACCCTTATAGACTCGGAAACTACTGAACCCTTATAGACTCGGAAACTACAACACCAATGAGACAGAAATTGCTGCATAACTCGAGAAGTAATCAAAAAAATGTAACCAAATTTAGCATGTGGTGTATAAGGAGATGGTAATAGGGGGTAGCCCCTTAGATAAAAGAGTGGGGGGGGGGGGGCTGGCTACGTACAATAAAGTATGCTTTTTTTTATTATTCGACGCATAAGCTCAAGCTAATATTGAGTTTTTTCTGCGCTTTTCTTCAATCAATTGAAAAGGTCGTGTGTAAATCGGTGCTTATATTTTTTCGATTTTTTATTGAAAATAGATCTCTAGAGGTGAAATTCGCGAGTGATAGGTGTGAATTTCTGTACGGTAGTCCGAAATATTACCGAGGATGCCTGAAAGTCGAATGTTTTATCGTTGTTTTATTAGTTATTATTTGCATAATGCTGCGTCATTGATGTGGCGATGTTTCTAGTTCGCGATACCCGAGTGCGATGTATTAGCCGTAGTGCAACGAACACACACGCGCGAGATGGTTCATTCAACCAAAATAAATATCTAGTCTATGTTTGTGTTTGTGTTGGATCGAGGCGGGGAGACTGGTGGGCTATTTCGTTCTCGCGGTTACTTGCGCAACAATAGACGTGACGTCACGTCTGCTGCTGCATAAGAACACTGTCGGGATGGGGGAGTCCGCTGGTTTCCTTTCTCCTCACCTCTTAGTATCTACCGCGCATCGGTGCTGTCTCGCTGCGTCGGTGTTCAATTTGCACTTTTGATGATGGTGCTATTAATTTTGAAGAGTAGTTCATGATAAAAACTTATATGATAGATGTGCGGATGTCCCTCGTACACGCTAAAAGCGGATTACCCTAATCTAGCTTTACGTTAACCAAACTTTTAGCTTTTTTTCAGCTTTTTCAACTTCTTTCAGCTCTTCAAAGGAGAAACATCTTTAGATTGGCAGTGTAATGATTCATTCTTTTTTCAGCATTCTTTCAGGTTAATTCAAGAATATTATAATGCATGATAGCACTTAAAGTTCAATGTTATTTTTGATTTACTTCCTCCTTCAAGATGGATGTTTAAGATACACATATTTTGCTAGCTGGCAAAATAGGGTCATTGCTGTATAATTATTCTCTTTTTTCAGCCTTTATTTAGACTGGATCTATTGATTTAAATTATTTGAGTTTTCTTCCAGCTTTTCGATAACGGAACATCATTAGATTTATACTGTAATGATTCACTATTACAGCTTTCACCCTGGTTTTGTATGTTGATTTGATTTGTTTGAATTGGTTTTTAGCTCCTTGGTATTGGCAGTCGTGGGCGGTCAATTTTGCTGATGCTCATGCTCTAAGTTTATTTTCAGCTTTTCGATGATGGAGTCTTCAGATTTATATTAAAACAATGATATACCATTTTGTTTAGGCTTCAGGCAAATCCAAGTATAATGCATGAAAACACTGATTCATTTAAAACCATGTGTTCGGATCAAAGAAAAACAAAACCGTTTTTTTTTGTAAATCAACCGTAAATAAAGTTGATCAAACTGCAAGAATTCGTTTAATATAGTGTTAGTGTTTATAGTTTGTGGTTTTAGTTGAAGTACTCACAATTTTAGTTATTGTTCCTCCTGCAAACAACCTTTCTTCTACCTAGACCGCTCTGAAATGTTCTTTCCGCCTATTACAAAATTCAGTGTTTTAATTTAATTCATTTGTTACAGTGTTTATCTCGTTTTACCTATCTGTGAGTCGTCTGCTTGCCGTTCCGTGTTTTGTAACCTCCACTGACCTAAATTTGTCCACAAACTTTCTACAAAATGCCCAAAGCACAGAATACTAAAAAAACTCACTTTTAAGCACTTTCTAATCGATACTGTATTGTTTGTGATTTTCTACCTTCCGTTCTTTGACAGATTATCTTCTATTCATCTATCTATCCTCCTCTCTTCAATCCGTCACTTCATCTGTCATACTACTTACTACCTCATCGTCCAAATTCACTGCAGCGATGGAGGAGGGCAACGGCCAGTGTTGCCAGAACACCATGGTCGCATCACTTAACAAGGTGAATCCTGATCCAACGAATCCAACTTACTAACAAAATCTCCTTTCCTGTGTCTTTGTTGGGGTGCAGAGGTAAACACGGCCCACAAACAACAAAGGTCACTTTAATATTCCTTCCCTACTCCCACCTGATTGCAAGGACGTGGCCGGCGCCGTTATTGATTTACAAAATATGGAGTCACTGAAACTTGTACAATGAGAATGGACGGTCACTCCCAGCCCCATTCAGCTGATTCATTGTACAATTTCACTGATTCTGATCAATCACGGAGTAGCAACCATTGATATGTGCAGTCAGTCGAAGCGCAACGTGATGGGGGAGTATGACCGTTCAAACCAAGATGACCTCAAATTATAAACAGCTTTCGGGGACGCCGTTTTATTTGCATGAAGAAATATTATTATTTAAAAAATATTTTCAGCTCTTCAATGATGAAACATCTTTTGAGTTCGTTGATGACGGCACATCTTTGGATTTATAACGTAATGATTAGTTTTTCATAGCCTTCACTCAAGTTAGATCCGTTTTTTCAATAACTTAAGTTTATTTTCAGCTCGTTGAATATTTGAATATGTGACATCATTAGATTTACATAATAATAATACATTTTTTCAGTTTTCATTCATGCGGGATGTATGGATTTTAATTATCTATGCTTGCTTTCAGCTCTTCGATGATGGAACACCTCTAGGATTATATTATAATAATTCATTTATATTATTGAACTTTGCATTTATTTTATATTATAAATATTCACTTTTTCAGCTTAGAGATGAACTAGCCTACAGAAGTTAAAGTAAAGTTAATGTAAAGTTAAACTAAAATTAAAGTTAAGTTAAAGTTAAGTTAAAGTTAAGTTAAAGTTAAGTTAAAGTTAAGTTAAAGTTAAGTTAAAGTTAAGTTAAAGTTAAGTTAAAGTTAAGTTAAAGTTAAGTTAAAGTTAAGTTAAAGTTAAGTTAAAGTTAAGTTAAAGTTAAGTTAAAGTTAAGTTAAAGTTAAGTTAAAGTTAAGTTAAAGTTCAGGTAAAGTTAAGTTAAAGTTAAGTTAAAGTTAAGTTAAAGTTAAGTTAAAGTTAAGTTAAAGTTAAGTTAAAGTTAAGTTAAAATTAAGTTAAAGTTAAGTTAAAGTTAAGTTAAAGTTAAGTTAAAGTTAAGTTAAAGTTAAGTTAAAGTTAAATTAAAGTTAAGTTAAAGTTAAGTTAAAGTTATGTTAAAGTTAAGTTAAAGTTAAGTTAAAGTTCAGGTAAAGTTAAGTTAAAGTTAAGTTAAAGTTAAGTTAAAGTTAAGTTAAAGTTAAGTTAAAGTTAAGTTAAAGTTCAGGTAAAGTTCAGGTAAAGTTAAGTTAAAGTTAAGTTAAAGTTAAGTTAACGTTAAGTTAAAGTTAAGTTAAAGTTAAGTTAAAGTTAAGTTAAAGTTAAGTTAAAGTTAAGTAAAGTAAAGTTAAAGTTAAATTAAAGTTAAGTTAAAGTTAAGTTAAAGTTAAGTTAAAGTTAAGTTAAAGGTAAGTTAAAGTTAAGTTAAAGTTAAGTTAAAATTAAAGTTAAGTTAAAGTTCAGTAAAATATCATTTTATATTCTGTTTATACTCACGAGTGCGTGTGTGTGTTTTTGTGTTTGTGTACCTATCATAAATCACTACAATCAGCATTAGTTTACCAAAAACGATCCCTGCTGCTGCAAACCTTTCCCCACATCCAACATCCCAGTGATTTCTCGTGGAAGCGCAGAGGATTTCTCGGTTTCCTTCACAGCGAGTATCACGTCAACACATTCCTTCGCATTCCCTATTGGACCTGCATTCGGACACGGCCGGCGCTGGTATTGCTAAATATTAGATCTTCAGTTTTTACACATTGAGGATGAATGTTAGTCCCAAACATCATCTGTTGGTTCTCTGTGTAATTTCAGCTGATCTGGCAATAACAGAGTAGCAACCGTGGGCGGTCAATAATGCTAATGCTAATGCTAATGCATAAGCTCAAGCTAATATTGAATTGTGAGCAAGGCCGGGCACACTCAGCTA